CGGTGTGGTGTGGCGCGGCCTTCCTTCCTCCCCGCGGCTGCGGTCAGGAGACCGCAGTCCTGGGTCCGACCCTTAAGCTCCCCGGCTCCATGTGTGCAGGACTGGACACGTGGCTGAAGGTGACCCCAGTGTGCGTTAGGGCACTCTGCACCCCCACTTGTCAGCTAAGCGCTGCCTGGGAGACAGAGCGGGAAGTAGGGTGTCCAGAAAGGGCAGTATACACTGACAGTCTGTTTGAACTTAAAAAACTGGCCAGGGGAAAACACCTGGAGAGTTAATTCTCTAATGCGGTTGTTATGGTTTGTGTCTGGGTGTCCCCCCAAAGCCTCAAGCGTCCATGGTGCAGGCTTTTAGAGTTTGATGGGTGTGAGAGCTACACCCACCCTGGGGTGGATAGTTTGCATATGTAAGGGAGAGGAAGAAGCTGCCTGAGGCCATTCCTCCCCCATTCCTTCCTGGTGTGTGGTTGTTGCTTTGCTGTGTTCTGCACCAGGAGCTGTAGCCCTCTGCCATGTGCCAGTCTGCCTTGTAATCTGCCAAGTATGGACTGAAACCTCCACAAACTATAAGCAAAATAAACCTTTCCTTCCTTCATTTTGGGCATCAGGTATTTTGTCCCAGCAACGAGAGAAAAGTAACCAAGACAGCGGTACTCACAAAATAAACATCAGTAGTGGTGGTGCTGGAACGTGTGGTGAGCTCCCCTTCCCTTGACCCTTGTAGGTCTGGCTGTGACTCACTAAGTTGACTTTCCAAAACCCAGGAGCCTTCCCGACACTTGCATTAAAACAGTGAGCAAGATGCAGGCTGAGAGCTAAATTTACCCCACTGCCTGCTTTTGTGTGCGTCTTAAGCTAAGAGTCCTAATTAAATGAAATGCTATTTCCCCACCCAAGAAAATTGTTTTCTTCTCATTAAGTAGATGTATGTTTTGAAGAGTGTACTTAGTTTTTATTAATGTTTTCAGTGTTGTTAATAAAGTTGTGGAAATGAGTTCATTATATAAGCACCTACGAGCTGGGCGTGGTGGTGCACGCCTGTAATCCCAGCACTCAGGGAGGCTGAGACAGGAGGATCTTTGCAAGTTTGAGATCAGCCTGGGCTACAAAGTGAGCTAAGGACCAGCCTGAACTGCATAGCGAGACTCTTTCTCAAAAAGACTAAATAAATAAGTAAATATAAGCACCTACGTAACACCTCTGATTTTGCCTCTTGCACTACAAAACCTGAAATCTATCAGATACTTTGTAGAAAATGTTTGTCAGCTCCGGTTTAAAACATGGAATGACCGACCTGTTTGCTCTGAGGCAGGCCCTGTATTAACCCATTTATGCTGAAGATGGTAATGTTTTAAATTTCTGGGTGGAATTTGTACGTGTTACCTTGAAAAATTCAAGGAAAGGAGTTTGAAGAGAAAAAAATTCTCTTATGTTCCACGAACGTTACAAAATGGAGCACCAGGCAGTGCAGCCTCGAGGAGCTTACACTGAGTAACTTCCTTGCCTCAGCCTACCCGATACCCTCAGAACTGCACATCGTGGAAGTAGCTCGGAGATGTTGAGGCCTCTGCCCAGAGTGGCTCAGGTGTTACGTAGCAGTTGGTTCCAAAGCCCATGCTAGGCTCTGACCAGGCTGATGGAAAATATACCAGGCGCGCCTTCAATGCATTAGTAATCTAGGAAGAAGCAAAAAGACGTATGTCCACATCGTTAGAGGAAGTACCTGGTAAGACGTGGGGGCGTCAGGGACAGTACTGACCAAGTGAAGCACAGTGCCCGTCGCTTGTGAGGTGTGCCCACGCCCAGTCCTGCAGCAGCCTGAAGGCTTCCTACCCTGCGTGTGCCCGCGCCAGGTCCGCGCTGTGTTGGGATTTGAACCTGGAAGGCTGCGCCTCTGCTCTTCTCAGCCCTGCGGAAGGGAGTTGTGGGGTGGGTGAGAGCAGCAGTTAGAGGTGAAACGTCCCCGCCGCGCCCCCTGCACTGTTCCAGAGCCCTGGAGTTTTCTAGAGCATTCTGTTGAAGCTTCCCTGCTCTCCTGGAGTTTTTATGTTGGCTCTGTTACTTTCCCCTGACTGCCATTTCCGCAGCCCTGAAGTTCAGGAATTGGACTAAGCTGGTCCTCAGAGTATCCGCAGGACCCGGTGGCTGGACTCTGCATCAGACTCTGTTTGAACAAATGGGGCTTTGGCTGCTAAGGCTGCTGAGCCAGGCTCCTTCCAGATGGAGGCGTCCTAAGATCAGGGGAGCAGGGGGGACACTGTGGAGCCGGTGCTCCCTGACCCTCAGCTCTGTCTCACCTCCAGACTGTGAAAGCCAGAGCCGCCTCTGAGCCGGGGGTGGCCAGGGACGGAGAAACCTATGGCACCACCCCGGACCCTGCCAGGGTCATGAGCCCACCCTGAACACCCTCGTCCTGGTGCTGCTGGCACAGTCGGCACTGGAGACAGCTCTGCCGGGGTTGGCCTGAGGTTTCCCGAGGACACAGTCTGCAGTCCAGCACCCTGACCCTGAGGAGGTCCAGGGGAAATGTCAAGTTTTTCAGATGGTTCAGTTTAGGACAGTTGATCCTGAGGGAGGCTGAGGGGCTGCAGTAATGCCCCAGGGGTGTCGGGGAGGTGGCGGTTTTGCGCTAGCTATGCCAACCTGTACACACCCTTTGTCACTTGCGGCTTGTGTTGGCTGTTTACACAGCTCAGAAAGCCCAGCGGCAGCAAGCAAAGGCCAAAATACTTCCTTCTCCTGGCCAACCCGGTCCCAGTCAGGCATCCTTTAGAGAGGTTCCCCCAGTCACTACAATACTGATAACCAGGTTTGAAGACTTTTGCATTTATTAGTTAATACTTAGTTTCTCCCTTGGAAAAAAATGGATCAGAAACATCTCTAAGAATCAGCTTTGGGGACTGGGGATTTAGTTCAGCAGCACAGCGCCTGCCTGGCAAGCGCAAGGTCGTGAGTTCAATTCCTGGTACCGGAGGAAAACCCCCCCCCCCAAAAAGAACCAGCTTTGGTTTTTGAGCCTTATGAATACTTGCGATCACTTCCCTGACGCACGGCAGTGGGCTTCACTCTGTAACCTCCATGTGCCTTGACTTGCACATGTGTGAAGTTGGAGTTTGAAAGCGCACACTGTAAGCGCACACTGTGTAGACCACGGAGATGAGTGCGCGTGGGGGTGGGGAAATGAAAGGCTGAACTCCGAACCTTCTAGTTTTGTATTCCGGCTCGGTATGTTGGGATCATAACAGGATGAGCTACTGAAGTGTCGAGTGAGTGAAAATTCTCAAGCTCTTTCGGTACTGCCTGGCATGGTAATCAGTGCTGTATAGATGTTTACAGCATCTGACCGGAAAAGCCAGGTGCTCGCTTCTGCAGCGTGTATAGTAAAGTACAGTAAAGCCCAAATAAACATGCCTTACTCAACTATGCTCTTCCAGTGGAAATTACAATTTCATCCATGCTGACACAATTTCCATTGGGCTTTCCCGTTATCCCCCAGAAGGAAGACCCTTTGTGTTAGGGGTAGATCCAAGGCCTGCCCTGGTTGATCTGGAGGGACAGTGAAGAAGAGGTGATTCAGGGGCTGAGGATTTAGCTCAGCGGCACAGCGCCTGCCTGGCAAGCACAAGGTCATGAGTTTGATTCCCAGTGGGGGCGGGGGGACCAAAAAAAAAAAAAAAAGAAGAGGTGATTGAAAGCTTGGAAAGAATGTTGCCTTCGGCACAGGTGTGTCTGTGCTGTTCGTTTTCAGCCCTGAAGAGCAGGTGAAGCCATTAATAGGAGCCCCCAAGCGAGCCATTAGCTGGCCTCTCAGAGAGCCAGTACATCTTGAACAGGGATGAAAGAGAGACTCAGATCAAAGCAAGGGCGACTTCTGTGATTTGTGGAGAAGGCCGGATGACCCCCTGAACCTCCTGGGGTCCGTACCCTAATCTCAGTGGATCTGTTCCTGTCTGCCTCAGAACCTTTGCATTTGCTATCCCCATGCACCTAAGATGATCTTCTTTACCTTTTTGCTATTACCATTTAATTTTTGTCCCAGTACCCTCAGCTTCCTTAGTCAGAACTCTGCCATTCCCAGCACCGGGATCCCTGGCTTCGCGGTGTGCCACCTTCATCCGCAGCGTCGTGATACCTGCTTGGGCCTTTCTCTTCTCTGCTGGTTATTAGGAGTTGTGGTTGTTGCGTCTCAACTTAACTATCATTCTTCCATTGCAGCAAAGACATCTCCATTTTGGTTAAAAAGATAAAAAGAAGCCTGTTTCTGGGGCATTTTTAAAGTCACTTACTGAGATACTGAGGACAGAACAAGGGCTTCCTGCATGCTAGACAAATATTATACTGCTGAGCTGCATCCCCAGACCTCTGTAAATTTTATTTTGAGACAGGGTCTTGCTACGTTGCCTTGCAAACTTCCTGCCTCCGCCTCCCATGGTGCTGAGCTTACAGGCACGTGGCACCCCACCTGGTTCAGGGGGTCACTTACAGGTTCAGGACAGTCCCCGGTTAGGTGTCTTTGTGCTGCACGGACCTTGGGTGCAGTCAGGGTGAAACACAGCCGGCCTTGGGCTTGCAGGCCGTTGCTGGCTCCTGGTTTTGTTCTCCTGGTGACTGACACTGTGACCCATAGTTTGTTCTGCTGGTTAGCAGTCTGTAGCTGTTAGACAGAGGAGGGGAGGGTGGGTTAACCAAGGCCTGGCCTGTGTCTTCTCTGCGGAGATGGTACCGTGCTAGAGTGTGTTGCTGATTTTTCTGGGGCTGAGGGACCGTCGCGGTGCTCCACCACTGTTCAGCATGAAGCCTGTTCTAAGAAATGTCGTGTGGTGCTGCTGTCCTCAGAGCACACCCCAAGAAGTGCGGCCGGGTTTTCTGCCACCACCAGATGCCGCTGTTTACGCAAACAGCGCTCTCAAGGCTGGTGCTGTGGCGCCCTCAAGCGTCTGACGGCGTGTCTGCAGCACAGTGTGACTTACAGTGCTCTTTCCGTCTGCTTTCCCCACACAGAGAAGGAGACCTTCTTGGACCCTTTCGTCCTCCGGGACCTCCTGCCGGCATCCCTGGGCAGCTACTACCGGTACACCGGTTCTCTGACCACCCCTCCGTGTAGTGAAATCGTGGAGTGGATCGTCTTCCGGAAGCCTGTACCCATCTCTTATCACCAGGTAGAGCCGCTGCCCCGGGGGGCGCCTCCTTTCCCTGATTTTATGTCTGCCTAACTCTGCAGCATTGCTAGGGGACGCTGCAAGGTTTTCGCTTTGCGTTTAATCTTCCGCACTTCATTGATTTCTTCATTTATCCCATCAAAAATGTTTTTGAATGCAAAAATAGTGAAATGTGAAATATGGGTGCTAAGCTAAAAATTAACTAGCAGAGGGGAATTTCAGTGTGACACGAGGCACTGCGCAAAGACTCCGTCTTGGAGGTAGTAGGCGCCGCCCATGATATTTCACACCGGAGACTGTGCCAGGCTTTTCGAATGGCCAGCCTGTGTGCGCCTCATGAACTGCAGACTTCTGAGGTGGGCACTCTTTGTCCCCCATCTCATGGAGAACACTGAGGGTCGTGGAAGGTCAGGAATTTTCCCAAGATCTCACGGCTGGTATCCAACGATGGCGTCTGATTGAAAAAAATAAAAATTCTCAGATCACGGAGCCCATCATAGTTGAGAAAAAGCAGAGGTTTGCAAACACAAGGTAAGTAAAACATATCATGGATTGGGCTTTTTCTGAATGACACACTTTACTAAGCACTTTACATTTACCAGCCTAAAGCCGCTGTGAGTTGGGTATCACAGCGACTTGGCCCGCACTGGACAGTTGGATGTGAGGAGGATGAGGAACGTGCCCTGGGATCGTGGCTAATGAGTGACAAAGCCAGGAGCTGAGAAAGAACATCCTAGTTCTCAGAAATTCAGCATGCACTGGGATCTGTAAGAAAGGGACCTTGAGCCAGTAATCAGCGCTGTCTAAGAATGGAAGATTCTGCTCAGGACCTTGCTTGGAAATGACCCGCAGGCATCCCACCAGCTTCACAACAAGGGCAGCAGTGTGGCGGGTGGGAGGGACTTGTGCATTTTGACGAATGCCAGGAGTGTAACTAAAGACACTGGCAACAAGCTTTTGAGTCTGGCCGGCACGGGGAACAGCCCCAAGGTTGTCCTGACCAGGGTAGAGGGGACGGAGTAGGCAGTGGGGAAAGGACAGTTGTTCCGGTCAAGTTGTTTCCGGATGCAGGAAACTGCCCTGAGGCGGCTCGTGTGGAAGGGATGTTGTGGAGGAGCAGCCGTCGGTTCCGAGAGGAAGGAGCCGAGCCGTGTCCTGAGCAGCGCTGGAGCTAGAAAGCCAAGCACGGGGCTTCCTCTGGGTCTTGCAGCGCCCGTGCCGTCTCTTCAGTCTTGGACTTTGTGACGTAGCTTTAGGACCAGTTCTGTACTTTTTAAAATTCTGGACCCTGCTTCCTCCTGGCTTGCTTTCTGTTGTTCTCACGGCCCCAGGTGGGTCTCTGGTGTCTGTTGTTCTTTAGACAAAAGGGTTGCTTACCCCACCTCACCAGAGTTGGGGTCTCAGGTCAGGTTCTTTTTTTTGGAGGGGGTGGTCTTTTTGAGACAGGGTCTCACTATGCAGTTCAGGCTGGCCTTGAGCTCACTTTGTAGCCCAGGCTGGTCTCAAACTCAAAACAATCCTCCTGCCTCAGCCTCTCCAGTACTAGGATTACAGGCATGCACCACCACGCCCGGTTTAAGGTCAGGTTCTCAAGAAGATAGTTCTACGTAGACATTGGCCACTTACCTAATCAGTGGGCCCTGAGTCGTGGTCTGTCTTAGATAAGCCATCCAAGATTATGGAGCGTGTCCACACACCCAGGGCTGGCTCTCTGGGGGAGATGGAACAGGTTCTTGAGAAGGCTGGGGCAGGGGGACATTACCCTCCTGGCAGAGTGAGGCAGCGTTGGGCCAGGCCAGACGGATTTATGTGGCCTCACTGCTGCAGACATTCTGAAATACTTCCTTTTAATTTCACTCTGACCAAAAAAGCAAGGACTGGCAATTTGGTTTCTGAACAGGATCTGCCAACCATAAGCAGAAAATGAAATAAGTTTTCTTACTAGTGGTGAAACCAACATTGTTTTATTAAAGAAAATATAACAGTTGAAATATGTACTTCTGCAAGGTTGAGGGAAGAACTTTCTAAGGGATCCGTTTTGTCATTTAAACAAATGCTTTTTGTCATCGCGGATTTAAAGGTTTGAGATAATTTGAGAAGTACAGGTTTGGGCATTTTTGGGTAGGATTTCAGATAAAGGAAGAGGCGGAGGGTGGCGGTGAACTTGCGGGGGACAGTGGAGGAGCGTTAACACGCACCGCGTGTTGTTACAGCCCCAGATAATAGTGTCTGAGCGGAGGGTACAGTTTGGGGCTTGGCGGTCTGCTCACGTTGGCTGAGTGGCTCTTTGCCACTCAAAAGCATTTGATGTTTGATAACTAGAGCCTTAGACAGTACTTGGTACCTATTTTCCCACCTACCCTGGGGTTCTAAATGGAAGAAATAGTGGACGCGTTTGCTTTGCCTTCCGTTAAATGACCTTTCTGTATGGTATCTCAGGGAAGCTGAAGAAATGCATTCATCATATTTGCCTCCCAGTTGCTTTACAACAAACTGTCTTTGAATAATCTTCGCTTTCACCAGGTGCCGCTTTGTTCTTCCCTGGGTCTCTCCCACGGGAGGAAAACAGCTCACATTCAAGTGGCCGGACGGACCCTTGCTGTCCAGCTCTGTGGAGGTCGCAGCTGTGTCAGCCCTTACCAAAGAAAGCAGCAGCCATCCAAGTGTTATCACTGCAGCCCTCCCCACCCTCACCCTGCCAGCGTTGTCTTCCTGAAAGTTAGCACAGAATGTTCATTTCAAGAAGGCGAACAGCCAGCTTGGAAAAGCCAAGTAGTGAGGAATTCCATGTCAGCTTCCATCGGAGAGAAAACGCTCCCAGTCTTTCACTCTTCCGATTTTCAGAAGCCTCCGCCTCTGCTCCCGCCCCTAACGCGCGTGGGTGCCTGTAGGCGGCACTCCCCGTAAGACACGGCGCTTAGCACGAGCTGCTGAGGCCTGGGTGTGGGTGTCTTTGAGCCCTTCCGGAGGACGCTGGAGCGAGCGCTGCTTCCCCTTCTGTGCTCTCTTGTCAGTGGCGTTGTCCGGTCAGACCAGCCCCGTGGCCGGTGAGCTGTGCTTGTGGCGAGTGTGCGTGATCTTCCAGACGAAATCTGGTGTTGCCAGCGGAATCACACGCCGGCTCGGTCACAGGTGCACAGTATGGTGTACGTGGCTCCACTGAGCCGCTCCTGTGAATGCCAGGCGGAAGTCAGACCGCGACCTTTGCACCCAGTCAAAATGGCAGCACTCGGGCTTGGTGTGGGAGGTGAAGGGTGCAGAACTAGCCAAGGAGACGGTACCTAGTATGTGTTCCTGACCTCTCAGGTCATGGTTATGTGGGAGTGCGCTGTACTGGGTTTGTTTTGTTCTAGAGCAGTGTTTCTCAAGTGGAGTTTCTCGGGCCACTGGCCTCATCCCAGTGCCCCTTTGTCCGCACGCTTGCCTCCTGTAGGGTAAAATATTAGACCTGTTATTTTATCCAGCATGAGTTTTATGTAAGTGCTTTCCAGGGGTGCTATTGAAAAGGCAGTATGGGGGCTGGGGATATAGCTCAGTGGCAGAAGCGCCTGCCTGTCAAGCGCAAGGTCGTGAGTTCGATCCCTGGTACTGCAAAAAAACAAAAAACTAAATAATTTTTTAAAAAGGCAGTATGCAAGCTAGGCGTGATAGTGCATGCCTTTAATCCCAGCACTCTGGGAAGCTGAGGCAGGAAGATGGCAAGTTCAAACCCAGCTTGGGCAATTTTGCAGTATAGAGAGACCTTGTCTCAAAATAAAAAATAAACTAACAAAAAGGTCTGGATGTGTCCAATTTGCCTTTAGATGTTTGTTTGTTTTTTTTTTTTTTTCTTTTTGGAGGGCAAGTGGCTAAACAGTAAAGTGAAATAGATAGAAAAGGTATCTGCATGACCCTCTTTGAGTTAAAGTTACCTGCTCTTTTCATAAAGACTAGAGCATCTTTGGCATTAAGCCCATGTGCTTAGGAGGCAAACTTCCCAAGTTCCATTCTCGGCTCCATGCTTTGGCAAAATGCTAAACTACTCTGCTACTTAATACCTCAGTTTTGCCGTCTGTTAAATGGTCACAATAGAGGTGACATAGCATTTAAATGAAGGGGTGTCCCTGAAATGCCTAGACCTAATGCCTAGCACCAGAACAAGTGCTTGGAAGGTTAATTAAGTGGGGCTTTGTTGCTGCTATTAAATGTTTGCCAGTCCTGTAAGGTGGTGCTTTCCAGTAGAAATGAAACATCCACAAACATTATTTTGTATTTTTTACTAGTCACATGAAAAAAAAATCTACAAGTGAAATTAATTTTAATGAGCTAGTTCACATATCCAAACTACTATGGTTTCCAGGAAGGCTGGCCCCATTTCTAATGGAATAGCTGTGTGTGGCCGCTGGCGTCACAGCTCTGAGGTGTAGCTCAAGACCTTGACGTCTGGAATGAGGCACTTACATCAGAGTTTCCGTCCAGCACTGTGGGGTGTGCAGTGCGTGGGACAAGATGATCACTAAGTAGTGAGCTTCGGCGGCCACCATCAACCCGAAAGAGCTCACTTTGCTCGTTGACTGTGATGCAGTGACTTTCTCTCTGCAGAGGACCTCGCTGTAGAGCCACCCCGGGCCCAGGAGGGACAGGGGGCTGCATTTAGCACGCTCTTCTCAGCTTCCATTTCTGCAGCTGCAGTTCAGTAAGCTGGGGTGCTCCAGGGGCTGGGCATTTAAACAAGTTTCCCCGTGACCTTCGGTGAGACGCCGCAGTGCCTGACGTGTACTGTTGGGGTGGCTATTGTGCTCGTAATGGACCCCAGTTCTGTTTCATTGCCACTGTGTGTCCGTCCCTCAAAACGCTGCTTTTCAACCTCGTAGTGGTTCACCATTCCGCTCCTTTCGGTTTCTGTCCCTTCCGCCTTCAGCCGCACGGCCCCTCCGCACATCTTGGGGACCCACGCTTTGCTGCATAGGACTGGCGTGAAGAGATTTCAGCTCTCCTTTGATTCCAACCAACAGATTAAAAACTAATTATTCTCTGTAATACTTTTATAATAAAAACTAAGTTGAAGTGATTTATATACACTTCCAGCCAACACATTTGCAATTCAAGGTTAAAATTGTTCTTGAAACAGCACCAGTTAAAATGCAATTACAACTCCCCAAGCAGGGATAAAAAGAAAGAAATGTTTTACACGTTCACTTCAAAAGTTTAAAAGTCAATTTAATATCATAGAAATAAAAACTTTCATTTATTTTTACTAAATGATAAAGACCTCATTAGTTATATTAAAGTAAAGGTAAATTCAAGTGTGTTCATTACCTGCCTGTGTGAAAGCCTCCGGCAGAGGGCTGCGGGCTCTGCGGGGTGGAGCGTGCTTTTCTTGGGCCCCCATCTTGTTCACACGCCCTGCTCCATCCTGGGTGGGGCCGGCAAGGGTGAGTGAACGTTCCCAGTGCTCGATTCCCTGCCTGGAGCAGCCTCGGAGTAGCTAAAGGGAGTTGTCTGGGGGCTTGTATCACTGCGATTTACTTCCCCACTAAGGTGCTTCTCCTGCTGTGAGTCTTACGGGGTGAGTGGCACCTGGGGCACGAAGTCTGAAGAGAGTGAGGAGCAGAGGAACAGGTCAGCGGTTTAGTCCTCACCTCCCTGTGGGTTCCTGTGTGAGTTTAGGCAAGTTGCGCGGTGTCTCCAAGGCTGATTCTCTTATGGTCAGTCATACCGTGAATGATAATAATGCCACCAGCCGCCTGGAACGTCTGTGGTGATTAAGTAGCGGACACTACATTCTGTTTCGTGCACAGTGCCTTGCGCATAGTAGGTGCTCAATAAATATGAGCTAGTGTTAATGTTATTATAATAGTGTTATTAGGGTTACTTTAATGTTACTGTTTTAAGTTAAAAAAAATTAGAAAGCAAAATAATGTCTGCAAAGTGCGAGGCACACATGGGGCACATAACAGACTTGATAAATGTTAGTAGTAAGCAAAGAAGGGAAAAGCATATACAGCACATAGCACCGTATTGTGTCGTACGTGCATGGTGCAGTCCTAGTTACCACATTCCTCGTGAGACGGTACCAGCACTACTGGTGATATGGATGTACACCTACTGTGCGCCAGGAATGACTCCAAATGTGCTGTGTCTAGAAACTCGTTTAATAATAAGAAAAAGAGAGTGATGTCATCTTTGCTATCCAGATAAGGACAGTAAAGCGCAGAAGGATTCAAGAAGGCGACATTGACCAACTTTGGTTTCCAAACAGAATTTTGAACGTAGGTAGCAAGAGCAAGTTTTGAAGTTGGAGACTCAGGCACGGCCTGGATCTTTGAGAGCCCACGATCAAGACTGCGAGCCTTGGAAACAGTAAGAAACAAGCATGCTGTGACCCTCTGTGCTCATTTTAAAGGAGCACTGTGTAGCTTTCAGCCAGCTCTGGAAGGGGGAGACGATGGAGCACCAGACGCGTGGCCCGCTCAGAGGCCCAGGGAGGCTCTGCGGCATCTGTCTCTGGCTCCGGGGTTACCCGGGGCTGCCGCGTCACGCAGTCCAGGGCTCACAGGGTGTTAGCGGACCTCCTGTCTGGATGATTGCTGCTCCCTGCCAGTGTGCCGATTGTAGCCTTCCCTTACCCATCCACGAGCCACCTAATGGCCAACCACGCCAGTCACCAAAGAGACAGGCCACGGGCAGTTTCACTCCCCCGAGGGGAATGGCAGGGTTCTAGTGAATGCTGGCCCCCTGCCGAGGCCATTTGTCTGCTCAGCTAGTCCTCCTTGGGGAGCTGTATTGTGTGACCAGCAAGTGAGGCTATGCGCTGACAGTAAAAGGTCACTCAGGTCATCAGTTCACCCCAGAGCCTGCCCATCTTTCCTCAGCGTCTGTGGGCAGGTTGAGTTAATGACAGGACCAGCGCTTTTAAGCGATAGCGTGTCATTAAACTGTAAGAGCAATGTCAGCGAAGGCATTTTTGTGTTATATTCAGAACCTGCCTCTTTTTACAGTTACGTGACTGACTCTTTCCTGAGGGTTCAGAAATAAACTTCATGGCACTGAGTGCCAGCCGTGAGAGACGCCAGTGCTCTGGAGAACGAACAGACCTGGCCCGGCTGCCCGCTGGCCTCTGGCGCTGGCCTTCCCCGCGTTTCAGGGATGGGGCTTTTTCAGACAGACTGCTGTCTCTCCCAGAAAGTTTCCGGCCTAACTCGCTATGCGTGGCAGCCCAGTCCACATTTTTAAAAAGACTCCGAAAGTTGAGGGCTTCTGCCTTTTATGTGACTCACATTTCTGTGGCTTTTATTTAAGCCAATTTCCTTTTGTTTGGCCTTCGCTAGACAACTGGTCAGCATCCTCCACCTTGGAGGCCTTTCATCACATTCCTCCTCACTCGCCCTTTTTCCAGACTAAACAATTCCACTCCCTTTAACCTTTCCTCCTGGGACTGGTGTGCCATCCTTTAAGCCATTCTCCTTGGTCTTTCCTAGACCGGTTCCACAAGGCCTCTGTCAGTTCCTTTCATAAAATTGAGGGAATTACTTTCTCTAAACAGAAACCTGTCCTCATCGTTGGCCGTGCGGTTTGACTTGGGCAGCCTCATCCAGTGAGTCACGCCCTGGGGTTGAAGTGGTTCTTCAGCGCCTTATTTGTCTTCCTCTTAGGGCCTCATATCGGGATGGTAAACAGCCGGGTCTTTTTAATTTTTCTGTCATGTTTTGCGTTTTCTGTTACAAAGAAGGAAGAGTAGGGAAGGAAGGTCCCTTTGACCGTCCTGCTCCTGTCGCCTCAGGAAGCTCAGGGGGACCCGGCTTCTGCTTGGTTTGTTACCACTTTACTTAAGCAGGAGAGTAAGAGGAGGGCGGAAGGAGAGGTGATTGTTCTTAGCTGAAATCTTTCTGAATTCATTGCTTTCTTACGCAAAAAGAGTTTCACATTGTCAGTAGCAGGCATTTTCTGGGCCACCCTCAGAGGCTGTTGGAAAAATCTGTGGTATTAACTGCAAGCTTTAAAATGACCACCCAGAATGAGCAAAAATTACGTTATTTCTTTTTTATCATTTTTTGTTTTGTTTTGTCTTTTTGAGACAGGTTCTCACTGTGCAGTTTAGGCTGACCATGAACTCACTGTGTAGCCCAGGCTGGCCTAGAATAGCAATCCTCCTGCCTCAGCCTCCCTAGTGCTGGGATTATAGGCGTGCACCAGTATGCCCAGCTTCTTTTTTATCTTTTATTTTATCCGATAGTATTAGTTGTCCTGTGGTCCCTGAAGCCTGAAATAGCCCCTGCCCAGCTGCTTGGAGAGCACTAGTCCTAACTCCAGTTACCTGGTGCCCTGCTCAGCAGAGCGTTAGCCTAGCCCGGAGAAGCTGTAGGAGTCAGAGGGCGGGAGCAGCCCTGCAGTTTCTCTCCTCATTCCGTGCTCAGTTCCCTGCCCCAAGGAGCTAATGTGGCCTGTCGCTGGGCATTGCAGATGATGGTCCATCTCGTTGGTGACGAGTAGTTTTGTGGTCTGATGAGAACAAGTCTGACAGCCAACTCTTCTGTCTCACACACAGTAACACGACCATTCTTAATGATCAGAGTGTTGGGGGCTGCACAGAGAATCCCTTCTGATTATAAAAATCAGGCCCTGGAGCTCCGATTGTTGATTTTTTTTTTTCATTGCTTTCCCCAAAAAGTTTTGCCAGCACTTCTGCGGGGATGTTTTTAATAATAACGCTGGCAAAGTTTGCTTGAAGACTTACCATGTGCTAAGTAACTTACACAGGCGTATTGTTTCAGGAGCCTTAAAAGATAGGCTCTACGTTGCTGGTGTTTTATAGATGAGGAAATTTCCGTTCTAGGAAGCTTCAGTAGTTTGTTGATAATTACCCAGGTGGTAAATGTTGGTCTAGGGCAGTTTAACCTACCAGGTGTTTAGCATCTGGTGACTGGGCTAATTTGGCCCGCAGTTGCCATAGTAGGCTTATTAATAAGGTTTAGATGACTGATACTTACTGAGGTCTTACGGTGTGCCGGGGACTGTTTCGGGGCAGTACATAGCTGAAGTGTTTTGTCAGTACACCGTGTTAACCAGAACGCTGTCGGTAGGTAACGTGCATCGCATCATCGCTCCATCGAGGACGTGGGGCACTCAGGGAAGTCAAGCGACTTGCTCTGGGTCCCAGGATGGGCACGTGTCGGAGGCAGGGCTCGCCCCCAGGTAGTCTGGCTCCAGCTTCACTGCAGTTCGGTGCTCCCGCTTTGAACACTGGAGGTCTGCCAGGGAGACCTGCAGAGGGGTCTTGCGTGAGAGCCACGCTCCAAGTGTGCCTGGCTCGCTGCAGGGTGCTAAGCCGGCTGCCTCCCGGGTACCTCTGCCCTGGCACCAGTGCCTCCTGCCAGTTTGCGTTCTTGTCCCCCCCCCCCCCCCCCTGCTTTGGGTCACACAGCTTTTCTAATCGATGCGGTCTTTTCCTCCTCTCTCTGGTTCTCCCTCTGTTTAGCTCGAGGCGTTTTACTCCATCTTCACCACCGAGCAGCAAGACCACGTCAAGTCGGTGGAGTACCTGAGAAATAACTTCCGACCACAGCAGGCCCTGAATGACAGGGTGGTGTCCAAGTCCGCTGTCCACGATGCCTGGAACCACGACATGGCAGACTTCTTAGAAAACCCACTGGGGACAGAAGCCTCGAAAGGTAACTAAGTACCTGGTCTGGAGGAAGGCTCCTTATCGTAAATTACCTTAAATTGAAAGGAGTTCAGAGACAGCCAAGAATTGGCCCTGGTGGTACGAGCGTATGCCCCCCTGCCAGGAGAATTGTCTGGGTGATAATAGAAGCAGTTGCGGGAATAACTTTGGTTAAACAGATGTGTTAAAAATTGCCCTTTTGACTCGGAATAGATCCGTCATTTTCACCTTGTACTTCAAAACTAATGCACAGTATCTAAAGGAAGCCTTATGGAAAATGTCTTCTTTTCTGTGTCCCTGTTGCATCAAGACTTTTCTCTGAGCATAAATATCAGGACCTTTGAATGGCTCCTGCACCCAGCGCCTGGCGTCCTGCTCACACCCACCCTGGCGAGAACCCCAGGTCCTGCTTTGCGCACCTCCTGAAGTCACGTGCATCTTATGACCGTCTTAACGGTTTTGTCCCCGTGTCTGATGAGCACGAGTTTATCGTTTTCAGGCATCTTAATCTTTTCCATCCCTGCTTTCTTGTGGGAAATGAACACAAATTTCTCTCCCTGAAAACTGGGGAGTCTGATTGTCCCTGACCCCCTTCCCTGTCAGGCTCCGGGGTTTGTCAGAGTTGCGTGAGCAGCTTGGCGGCGCAAGGCTGGTCAGAGTTTTACTACTTGGAAGGAAGGAAGAAGAAGGTGTTTTCTTATGGTATAAAGAGATGGGCATTTCTCAGCCCAGTGTTCTCCTCCTTTGGGAGTAAGCTTGGTAACATGGGAAGGTTCGTGGTGTACTGGAATGACACTATGTCAATAGCAGCATTTGAGCTGGTTGTGGTGCCACACCCACGTAATCCCAGCACCTGAGAAGGCGGAGGCAGGATAATCACTGCAAGTCTGAGGCCATCCTGGACTGCATAGTGAGTTGAAGGCCGGCCTGGACTATATAGCAAGATCTAGTCTCAAAACAAAACCCCAAATAAGAAAAATAGCATCATTTACTAGGAACAACAGGGAATTAAGCTCAGAAACCTGTGAATTACCTTTGTTCAGGCCAGCATAGAAAACCTCACTTGGACTCATTTTTTGAAACTTAGCTAAAAATAAAGAAAATAACAAAACTCACAGGCCTCTTCCCAGGAGAACTTGGTGGAGAAGAGCAGGACTCCCGGGGAGTCGCTGTTCTGTGAGGTGTATATGCAGAAGACACAGGAGCTGGGAGCTCGGGGTTGCTGAGCTGTTGACAGCTCTGCAGCATTTTCCTGAAAAGTGGGCTGAGGGCACCGATGGATATATCCGCTGGGCAGAGAGATTGCAAGGGCCTCTGTTACTCAGCAACAGTAGAGAATGCTATCGCTTTTCTAGCATTAAAGGGTCAAAGTTGGCAAGATCTACTTCCGCTTTGGTCTAGGCCTTGGACCCACCGTTCTTCATTCTTCAAGGTTTGCTGCAGTCATTGTGGCATGGCTGACTCTTACGAGTGTGGCTGCTACATGATTTCTGACCTTTTTTGGGGGGGGGGGGGGGGATACCAAGATTGAGGTACAATCCTGTTTGAATTTCTAACGCTGTAGAGGAGTAAAAGCTTTCCTTCTCTCCTCGGAGGACTTGACGGCTGAGTCTGAAATCAGCTGAGAGTAGGCTGAGTAACAGGAGAAGGGTTCCGGGGTCCCTCACACACGAAGGTTCATCGCACAAAAGAGAAGTGAGTGCCTGTTATGGTTCCATCCCGACAGTCCCCCGAAAGTGTCATGTTCGGAAGTGGGGCTTTTGGAAGGTGCCTGATCGCGGGAGCGCGTTGCTTATCCGTGGGTTCACCCACTGACAAGCGCAGAGGTGAATGTGCCCGCAGAAGGTGGGGCCTGGTGGGAAGGGGAGTGTTACTGGGGTGTACTGTTAGAGGGTAGAGGGTAGGTCTCATACCCTGGCTGCCACCGGGTGAGCAGTTTTCCTCTGCCACGCCTGTCATAGTGCCTTTCTGCCCCGCCAACCACGGACTGAAACGCAAAATCCAGAAACCGAATGACATCTCTCCACTTTGAAGTTGTGGGCCTAGGTGTTTTGTCCCAGCAACACAGTACTGAGAGACCCCGTGGGATCTGGGTGTTTCCTCTCCATAGACGAGGTCAGGAGTTACTGCAGTGCTTAGTAGGGAGTAAATGATTCTGGAAAAGGTGAACGGGCCCCGTGAGAGCAGTGGTAGCCTGTGACCTAGGCCCTGTGGGCAGCCTGGGGCCACATCCAGCCTCCTCTCTTGCGATAGGAGTTAGTTTCCCAGGTTGATGAGACTTCAGGGAGCAGATTCAAGACCGCTGCATTCCTTTTGGAGGGTTGACCTCAGGCAGACAAGGGGAGCTCAGAGGTAGCCCCTCCCCCGTCCCCTGCGTTCACCGGATGCCCTCAGTTTGAGGTCCACACTGGCATATTTGGGTGTTTATTTTCTGAGCTCCTCCTACATATTACTAGAATGGTACATACATACGCAAAAGCGTAGGTGCAGCATGTGCCTGACTTGATGTACTGCCGCAACTGAACATAGCCAGCTAATAAGCACTCGGGTCAGTAAACTAACACCCCCATCGTGCCAGCGTTACCGCACCCTTTCCTGATGGTAGCCGCCGCCAGAGATTAGCTGGCCTCTGCGGACGTTTCAGGGACGTGGAGTCATCCGCGTAGCCTGTCCTCCTCGTGTCTTGCTCTTCAGCTGTGTGTTGGTTTTGAAAGTTCTCAGTGATGTTGCAGAGTCCTGTTTGTTCTTTTCTACTGCTAAATTCCCCTGTGTGACTGTCCCAGATCTCACTTAGCCCTTACAGTGTACCTAAATATATGGGTTATGTCGAAGTTACATTGATCATGAAAAATTCTTAGTGGATTTATAGACACATCTCTAGATGTGTGCCCAGGAATGGAATGGCTACATCCTCGGGTCCATAAGTTTAGGTGTAGTGGGCAATGTTCCAGAGTCACTGAGCACGTAGTACTTTCTTGTAAATGATCATAGAATGTGTGACCTTTTGTCTCTGAGGTCTTTCACTCAAAATAATATTTTTAAAATTCATATGCATGTGGGAACATAAAGTACAAATTCCATTTTACAACCAAATAATATAACATTGTATGAATATACCACATCTTCATCCATGTCTCAGCTATCAGATGTTTCAGGTGTTCTCATTTTTTTGGATATTATAAATGATGCTTCTCTGTGTATTTGCATTCACGTTTTTGTATGAACATGTTTTCAGATCTCCGGAGTAGAATTGCTGACATACTGTACCTCTAAGTTCACAGTTTCATGGAACTACCAAACTTTTCCTGAAGGAGTGGCACCTGTGTTATATCACCGCTGATTATTGTGCATCTTTTTGTTTTAGGCATCCTAGTAAATATGAAATCAACCGCTTTGTACAGTACTTTTGATTTTCATTTCACTCATGACTAAGACACATTTTTTACTCGTAAAAGCACATGACCTGAAACTCTTACTTAACTAAATGAACCTCTTTTTCTCTCCAAGAAAACTGAGGCTGTTCAACAGCACCACACGGAAAGTCACTCGTAGATGGTCACTATCCTCAGACAACCTAGACGTTGTATAGCAGTGCTGGCGGACCTTTTAGAGACCGAGTGCCCAAACTGCAAACCCAAACCCACTTATTTATTGCAAAGTGCCAACACTGCAGTTAAACCTGAATACTGAGGTTTTAGTTGAGAAAAAACAGGTTATGCATTCACATCTTTTGTCTTAAAAGAAAAGCAGGATAACATGCGTGCCATAGGTTCGCCATGACTGGTGTAGATGGTTGATGTGAGAGGAAAAACCAGTGAAACGGCAATGCAAAGGGGAAATGCTTTTCTTTTTAAAGTTTTCTGCATATAAAAAGGCCTTTAAAAATAGGAGAATGTATTCTGTAATCTTTGGGTAATTCAAAAAGAACAAAGCCTGTGTGATCGGCATTCTTTGTCAGATCGTTGGAAGCTTGCAGCACCCAAGAAAGCTATGATGTTTTATGCATTTGCTGGGCTATTGTCACAGAAAAAAGAAAAATAAATTAATTATGTAAGGCAGGAGTTGATGAACTTTTCTGGTTAAAGGCCAGCTAGGAACGTATTTGGCTTTATGGCCATATGAGCTCTGTTGCAACGCCCCCTCTCTGCCATTGTAGACCAAGGACAGCCACGGACAGTGTCTTTCCACAAAAGTTGACTTACCTCTACAGATAGGTGCAGAAGAGATTTGACCTGAGAACCATAGTTTACTGACTAGGGGTGGCTCAGAGTACAATGGAAAACATTATAGGCATGTTTTAAGCTAAATATTTAGTGCCTTCGAGGTGGTAGTAGAGCTAAGGGTACAGTTCAGTGGGAAAGCATGTGCTTAGCATGTGCAAGGCTACGGGCTCTATCCCCACCACCAAAAAACAAAACAGAGACAAAAAACGGTGGTAGAGGCCATGGTTGTGAATTGCTTTTCCATCCCTCTGCAAGCCCGTAGGGTTACTCAGAGATATACTTGCTAGGTCACCAACTACTTAGCTTTTCAGCTTACTACCGGATCGTCTCTCACCTCAGAGGTGTGAGCACAGCGTCGTGGACAGAATGTAGCTGCTCACTTGGTCCCCTTGTGTGTGATCGGTAGCTGGAGCAGCAGTGTGGTGGGCACCTGCGTGAGCACAACGCAGCCCCTTAGAGGGATGATGACACATCCTGAGAGAGAGAAGACAGACCAGCCTTGCAGTGCCAGGATGCAAGGGACAGGCGTGGAAGACACCAAGGAAAGGGGAGGGAAAATCATCTTAATACTCTCTTGTTGCTGAAGAAAGACATAATGGATATCATCCATAAAAAACATAAAGCTTTAGTTCCAGTAAATGGAGACAGTATTAGGCTTGGTGGAATTTTCGAGGGACATCCGATTTGCTACTCTGCCCTTTGTCGGTAAATACCTTGGCCAGACTCTAGGGTTTAATGGGCTGTCATTTCAGTTATTCTGCGACCCATCCCAGGCCCATGGAGG